TATATATATATATAATATATAATATGCAAGTTATTAAGGAGATGTTGACGCCGTGGCGTCCACGCCCACGCGCGTGGCAAGTGCCGCACATGATCGTTTCTGCGCCACCCATTCTTTTGTTTGGACCAAATCGGTCCAGGTTTCCTCCCTTCCAAGGTGTTGGCTTGTCCTCTTGGACTACTCCTAATTATCCTCTTATTATAGAATTGTATTCTTGATGTTCTAGCTTTACTTTGTGTCTCGTGGCTCTGTTAGGACAGTCGCCAGCATTTGGTTTTAGAGCTGTATCCGAAGATGAGAAAGTGCTCTGGTTGTAACTCGTCCGAGGCGGTGACCGTCTTTCAAAAGTCGGGTGGTGCTCGGCTGTAGCTCATTCTCGAGGGAGTAATTATCCTCGACTTTTCCTTCCTCACACCCCTCACTTTGTTGTCACACCTCTTCCTCACTGCAGCTGCCCAGGACAGCCGCCAGCCCTTCCACGATCCCTGCTTTCCTCCTTCCGAAGCGGCTGCCAGCCAGATCCCTGATATATAAGTGGAACATATTTAGGTATATTAGATCTATTATACCAAAGAATGGGGATATTGATGAAGATATAACTTGTGAAGTTAAGTGTGGGTATTTGTTATAGTGAAGAAATGCTCATGATTATTCTCTATAATATCACAGATGCTAATGTAAGTTTTTGATAGAAGTTTAATTTGTCTGCCAATATTGTATGGGTTCAATTGCCAAGTAGTGAAAAAGTCTTTGACAGATAGAATGAGAGTTGTGAAAATGAGAATGTTAAGATGATTGCCGCTAAACTTGTTTTTTCACGTGTGCTTGGGCACAAGAGTGTTTTTCTATATAGCTTGATCAATTCTACAGATCGGTAGTCGTGGGTTGCTTCAGCATAATTTTTGCTGCTAAAAGCTGAATTTTGATCAATTAACACCATTCTACATATCGTTGTTTTGCGTCTAAATTTTTTTCTCACAGTGCAACTGTCTTTTTGTTTATGCAAGTTCTTAGTATCACACTCCACATTTTAAATTTGTTCTTTTTATTATATCCTACAGAGACAGCATTGGCTTTGCTGCGACATCCTGATTGTTGCATCTCCGCGTATTCATCTGTAAGTAAGCGATAATTCCTTGAATACCTCTTTTATATTTTTCAGACAGTTTGATTTATTACTATTTTCTGGTTCTTGTTTTGCCTGATAATTTGATGCAATTTCTGATAGCGTTGTGTAGAGTCTATTTGCTTAGCGTCCTTTTGGTAAAAGGAGAATATTGAAGAAATCTAGAGGATTATTTGTAAAATATTAAGAACAGTTATGAATGTAAATGTTAGGCTTTGCAAAATTCTTTCTTGGTATCGAAGCTCAACCGTCGCAGCCTATTCGATCGTTGGGATTGTCAGGTTACGTGTCCTCGCGATACATTCACGCTAACTGGGAGGCACGGGATCGTGGTATTACAGTCGCGAATGGCAACCCCCGCGATACAGGTATCGCAGGATACAATCACGAACGACTCGTGATACGTTGGTGCTAACTGGAAAGGCACAGGATCGCGTCTCCTACCCGAACCAGTGAGCGAGATTCATTTGTGAACGGCTCGGGAGATTTTCGCACGAACTGGCAAGGCTCGGGATCGTGGCTCCCACCTGAACCAGTGAGCAAAGGGATCGGGCATGGGATCGCGGTGACGATCGTAACATACAGATCGCGGCTTATAGGAACCAAGACGTGATGGCAACGTACAGATTGTGACTTTCAGAGCCCATGACGTGATCACAATGTACAGAGGGAAGGATTAAATTTGAATGTGATCCAGATTTGAATTATTGTATGTCATGAGACGAAGATAATGTGCGTGATAAAGGATTGAAGCTTCCGGGAAAGCTAGATCCTGAAGTTATGAAGGTCTTGGTTGGGCTCATACGGAGAGTTAGCGTCTCGACAGGAGCCACTACCTCAGCACGTGCTTCGATGCGAGTGAAGCTAGATCTCCTCCTATGGATCAGAAGTTTGATGACTGACCATGTGTCTGAGTTTTGGTCGCGTCGGGTCGAGGCTGCTCTAGTAGGGAAGAGACTACAGAGATATCTAACCTGGGATGAACTAAACAAAGTCTGTTGAGGGGATAAGTGGACAACCACACACGCCTTAATCTATACCTGTCTATTCAACTTGACAGTTCTATCAATTGCATCCTTAGTAGATGTCATTTGAAAAGTGAGAGACATTTGAGCAAAAATGAAGAAGATTCATGCTGAGACGAAGACCCACATGAAGGTGTCTCAAATTCAACGTGAGATAGAAGCAGTGGTATAAGATGATAGATCGATTCATTAATACGCCATAGAATTGGAGTGACTGTGGACAGATCTTGATCACTTCTCACCTATGTCGAGCTGTGACGATCCGGAGTGCAAGAAAGAGGAGGTCATTATACCGATGAGGGCTCTGGATTTTCTCGCCCATCTTAACCCGACATTTGATTAGAAGAGATCAATCCTTCTAGCTTAGACGACCATTAGCCCCTTCACTTGATGTGGCCATTGTTGGAAGGATACAAGAGGAGATTCACATGAAGCTACAATCCGAGCCGAGTGGACTTCTGGGTATGCGATTAGCTTTTTGCTTCCTCGAGCTTATGTATGATAGGTGTCCATAGGGAGACTCGCAAGTGCTTTAAATGTGGTGAAGCCGGGCATCTGAGCAATACCTGCCCTAGACCATCTATGGAGAGAGAGACTAGTGGACGTGGACAAGGTGGAGGCCGTGGTAGTTGAAAAGGTGGAAAAAGGGGCTACGGGCAAATCTGATGATAGCAGAGGAGGGAGAGACATGTTTAGTTTTTACTAATAAGGATCATGAGTGTCTAAAGCTGTTGAAGTGGAAACAGAAACTAGCAGGAGATGGGGTTGATGGTGTGTTGACCTCATTTCTGGACGAGGTCTCTTTTTTGTCTCCTTAGAGCCTAGGGTCTAGCTTTAGGCTTCCCCTGTTCGACTCTCTTAGAAGACTAGTACAGAACCCACACCATTTAGAAAATTCGAGCCACCTCGTCATTCCGAGTTTCACATGGGCGGTCCCGGTTCCTCAACTTTCTGTTATATTGATTAAAACAGACACATAAAACTCGAGTCGATTTCCTACATTAATAAGAGCAGCCCTGTCGGCATTATTTTTGGTGTGTGGTTTGCCCGTAAGAAGCTGTCGGTAATCGGAATTGAAATCCCGTTGCCCGCTTCGGAAGGACGTTTTTAAAAATTTTAGTTTTGAAAAAGATGAAGTCAAACTGACTCTATAATTTTCATAGTTTAAATGAAAGAGCGCTTTACTTCAAATCTTGTATCTATCCCGAAGGATGAACACAAGAATTGAGGCTGAGGCTCGATCAAATAAACTAAAGAATGTTATGACATCCGTTTTGTCTGCGAAACAAATGTATTGGCCGACAAGTTCCCCTATTTAATATAAGGAATTAAATAGGGTTTATATTATGCTGGGTTCGGGAAAAGCTTCCTATAAGGACAAACCCCTATAGTTAATTACATCTTAGGTAACAAAAGTTACCTAAGAATACTCTCGATAAAAACCAAGAAAAATTATCTTCAAGGAGTTCAAATGGTAAGGACATTTCAAAGACATCGGACTAAGAAGTGTAAAAGGGGATTGGTTCAAATTTGGAACATTTTATTTTGGAGTCCAAAGGAGGAAACACTA